AATGTTGAAGATATATTACAAGTAGTTAACTTAATTTCAATCGAAGATCTTCGGCAGGATCAATTACAACACCAAGATGAATTATTTTTTGAAAAACGGACTTTTAAGAAGGGGGAATTTATATATAAAAGAATAAGAAACAGAGAGCGGATTTTTGTGTCTACAGAATTTGGATTGGATTTAATTAATAAGATTCATTCTTACTATGGTCATATAGGAAGTGGTCATATGGTAATTAAGATACGTCCATTCTATTATTTTAAGCGGATGGATGCGCTTATTCAGGAATTTTGTGACAAATGTGATATTTGTAAGAGGAATAAATCTAGAAAAAGTAGAGATATTGGGCGTTTATCACATCTGGGTCCAGCTAAGGAGCCTTATGAGATAATGTCACTGGATACTATAGGAGGTTTTGCAGGGAATCATTCTCCAATGCATTATCTACATCTTTTAGTTGATCACTTTAGTAGATTTGCATTTACTTATGCTTCGAAAGGTCAGCAAGCAAAAGATCTCATTCGTTTTCTACGTCCTATTTTGGAGAAGAATAAGGTGAAAATCCTCTTGGCTGATCAATATGCGAGTATTAATTCTAAAGAATTTAAAAGGTTTCTGCGTGATTATGGAGTTACTCTGGTTTTTACTGCGATTGATTGTCCTTTTTCAAATGGGTTGAATGAACGCTTGAATCAAACACTAGTAAATCGACTTCGGTGTAAAAACAGTGAATAACCGCAGCGTTTATGGTCAAAACTTGCAATAGAATGTACGGAAGAGTATAATCAGACAACTCATAGTGTAACGAAATTTTCGCCTTTGTACTTGCTCACAGGAAATCAATCTTCTATACTGCCTGATATTCTATGCCAGCCTCAGGATTTAGTCCAGGATAGATTACAGGCATTTGAGAATTCTAAAAAAGATCACTTGATTAATAAAACGAGGGTGGATCGAAATAAGAAAGAACATGATTTTCAAGTGGGAGATCTAGTCTATGTTGACATGGGTAATCGTCTTAATCGGAAAAAATTGGATCCAATAAGAAGAGGTCCTTGTAAAGTTTTAGATAGAGTGTCATCAATGATTTATGAAATTAGTTGTGGACGTCGTAGATCTCAGGCAAATTTTGTACATAGTAGCAAACTTTTGCCTGTCCGAAGGGGGGAGATGTAAAAGTGAAGATTCTACTTTTAAACTATCCTAGTTTCTGGTGAGAACATTGTTGGGGTTGTTTTGTCAAAGTGACAGAATATTTATTTAATTTATTTTTGTGTTTGTGAATTTGCCAACAGACTGAATTAAAGACTATTAAAACCGATTTTCTTTTAAGGTAATTGTAATATTGTATTATTATGCTGTTTGTTTTAATAAAATGTATTCTTTTAAGGAGAAACAACGGTCTATAGTCATTTAAGTTTAATCTATCCTGTAATCCAACTTATATATATTTGCAAAGTATATATGTCTTAAAAAGTGTGTAAATTCAAAAAATGCAAAAAAATACTGAAAATAAGAAATTTAGTGTCGTTCCAGGAAAAACCGAATACCCTGTACTTAAAAAATTTCTTTTTTTTTATACGTAGGAGAAAAGTATTTTTTACTCCCTACATAACCACGCTTTTAAATTTTTTGGGACACAAGTTGAAGGGGAGCGACATTATAGGGGATCACCCTGTACATACCATTTCTTTGAGTAAATTAAAGATTAAATATTTTTTTTCAAATGTAGACAGTTGCCAACAGGTAAAAATAGCCAAGTAAAATTATTATTTTTTATCATAACAGCTATTATTTTTTTCATTTTAAAGTACAAGTTGGTAGGTAATATTAATAAAATTGTTTTATACTGCTAGGTTTAAGATAGGATCTATCGTCCCAATTATCACATAAGGCCGTATCTCAAATTTAACAATTTTACAAAGCATTTTAAAGATTAAAAGTTTTTAGCTAATTTAAATAAAGTATATTTAAAAAAAAAATGTCCCACTAAGTATTACATTAAATGTAATACATATTAGCACATTTTTTTATTTGGAAAAATACGGTAGTGGATAGAACTTGCATAACTAAGAAGAAAAGTTAATATGAATTTATATGCTTTAAAATTTTTGTTTTAAACATTTAAAAAAATTTATCAACCGACGAAAAATATTTATTTAAAAAAGTGTCGGACTCGATAATTATTTATTATAAGATCTACAAACTTTATTATGTTGTCCACTTTGATAAACACCCTTATTAATTCTATAAAAATATTAATTTTAACATTTTTATGACGAGAGAAAAAATTATATTAAAAAATACGTATGTAAGTAGGTACTATTTTTTTAAATTCGTAAATTTTGACATTTTATTTTTTAGTACCTTTTGTAGATTTATTACAGTTTATACATTTAGCCACAGCGCAATTTGAGATTATAACCCAACACATAAAATAACAAAAACAAAATAAAAATATTAAATTTGGATGTCTTACACTTAAAATAATAATTATTATAATTTTAATTTGGAAATAATATAATAATAATACACGCAATATTCTCTCCACTCAAAAAATATTAAATTATTATTATTATTATTAAAACATTACCAAACATAATTTAACATAATAATATTATTAAACAATGCAAGTTTAATAACTAGTTTCGAACGTCGAATGTGCCGTACTTATGCTTGGCGAACGAATCGTGGTTACTAAGTGTTGCACATAACAGAATATTTACTTTAAGCGTTTCGAATTAAAAAAGGTCCGCATGAGCAACGGAGAGAGATAACTAGACTAAATCTATTTTTAGACTCGAAAATCTGGCAACCCTGTCGGAAGTGTCTACGATGCAATTGTCTCTATATATGATGGAAGTGACTAAGTCACGGCCATAGTACACAAATATTTATTTGCGAAATCCTTTCCCCTCTCTAGAGATTCGGATTACGTAGGTTCCCCTTCACTTATATATAGTTTTAAAATGCTTGTATAAGCCTTCGTTCATGTGGAAGTTAGGACGCCCTGTTTATACTACGGAAGTGACAACTTAACAGGCATCGATATATATATATATATATATATAGTGTTTTTTTAATTTGCTAAAACTTAAAAATAAACAACTTAACTGTATTATTTTTTATCTTGTAAAGTATCTGTATCTTCATTATTAACTATAGTATCTTATAAGATACATGTTAATTATAAATTTTTACAAACGATTAAACAGGGGGTTTTTAAAAGTTAAACATGTTTTTGTAATGGAACACCCTATATTTTTTTAATGTTTGGATAAAATAAGTAATTTACTTTTTTTAATATACAGGTTCGCCCAAAAAATATAAAATAGAGTAGTTTACGGGTAGTAAGCAGTGATTTTTAAAAAACGCAAAGACACAGTAACTTCAGTTTTGACGGGAACATCTTTTGCAATAGATTTCACTTGCAAATCACTTCACCCCTTCTCTAAGTGGTCACAACCAAAGATAATACACCCCATAGATTGGGGTGTATTATCTTTGGTCACAACCCCTAAAACTATTCTTCCACTGAGTAGCCAAAATGAAATTCTATCGATTTGTTTTTGAGATTTTTAAGTTGAAGTGGCCGCTGTGGCAATTCGTTTCTTATTAAAATAAAAAAGTTGAAATAAAGAATTTGGCAAAAAAAGTGTAATAAATGTCGAATCATTAAAAGCCTTCAGCACTCTTTAAAGTTAACATTATTATTTAGTTTAATTCAACAATGGTTTTCAGTAGGTATTACGGAAAGAGTTAAAATGATCTTTTGTGTGCGGAAATCGTCCAGCATATTTATTTAATAAACACCATAAGGATTGGCACGTGAATAAAAAATTCGTTTTGTAGTTGGTGGCGAAGTTCAGAGAAACAGGATCAGTAGCGAACAAAAAACGGATTCTTCGACTTGAACATGAAAGTCCGGTCTGTAATGAAGCTGCTGAGGTAGGAGTTTTAGGACAAGTTATTGCTGAACCAACTTTGAGCCCAAAAACATTAGCTATTAACATGTCTAAAACGACCATCCAACGCATCCTCAGATCTCTTAAACTTTGTCCATACTAGATTCATTTAGCCCATTAATTAAATTAGGATTATTTTGACTGGAGTTTTGCGAAACTATGACTGAACAAATGCTTATGATTACAATTAGCTTTTTAGACCTGTGTACGTTTTTTTTAACTCAACCGTCAATCGCCATTATTGTGTCTTTATTTGATGGTAACCTGACAAGAGAAACCTACTTGGAATTACTAGAAGATGTAGTTCATCCCTTACTGGTCAATATTGTTGAAAATGAAAACAGCTACTTGAAAGACCATTTAATGTTTCAACAAAATGCACAGTATGCACTGCGTGTTAGTGAGTTTTTGGACCGAGTGTTTCCTGGACAATGGATTGGCCGAAGAGGAGCTCTGTATGGGCCGGCCAGATCTGCAGATTCTACTCCCCTAGACTTTTTCCTGTGGGGTCATTTAAAAAGTAAAATTTACGACAACGTATACATATGTATATCGTGTATCGTGTATGTATATACATATGTATATCGTGGATGAATGTCGTCAAATAACTCCCCAAATACTTTAAAATGTTAAAAGGTGTTTTAAACAGAATTTATATTTTTGTATGAAACTTAGTGGCAGATATTTTAAGCACTTAATAAATTAATAAACTTTGTTGTACTATTTTTATTATTTTTCTCTTCCTTATTTGAATAAGAAACAAAATGCGCTGTTGCAGCTTTAACTTAAAATATCTCGATCAAAATAGGTAATTTTTATCAATGACATATTTTTTGTTCCATCCTTTTGGTCACCATTGTATATGACAATGTAATTTTATAAGACCCTGTATAGACATTGTGCAATGATTTATAAATATCCTGATTAGGCACCAAATAATAATTGCGTTAATTGACTTCCTCATTTCCCCTAAAACAAAATTCATTAAACAAATTAAATTGCCTAATCCGATTAACTAGATTGGTCTTTCGCAGTCCCGATTCGAATCCCTTTGCGAATGCGTATCTAATTTTTGATTTTCAAAGATGAATTTGGACGATGTTTTGCCCACCGTTGGTGAGTTTGGCAAATATCAGAAATTAGTTTTGTGGTTCATTTTATTGCCAGGAGTGTTTCCCTGCGGTTTTCATGCCTACAATCAACTTTTTATGGCTGCTACGCCGGATCATTGGTGTAAAATAGTGGAACTCCCCGATGCCAACCCCAAAGAACTAAGAAATTTAAGGTAAACAATAAGCATAAGATAATTATTTAGTTTACTATTGAAGTTAAACTTTTAAAGGATGATAGGAATAGAGTTTTAGAGTTGTGTTATTATATTATTTTATTTATACAAATTTGCACAGTTACTGATTACCTACTTACTGATGAATTCGAAGTCCAGCAGATGGCGCGCGATTTCTCCCAAAACCATTAAAAATTTAAATACATTTTTTTTTTAATATTATTTACATATTTTTTTTATTAATTTAAAAAATTATAATTCATCCTTATTAGTAAAATTTCAATTAAATTTAAACAAAATCTTAATTATCATTTCAAAACTTATTTAAAAGGAAAGGTAAATAATACATCTCATATGATATACATGGTGTCCCAGAAGTCACGCACCACCTTAAATAGTTAGGGAGCTGGTGGCAATTTCGGTATATGATTTGCTCGTCGTTGGGAATGATATGTTATAGAGTTTTGATGCTTGTGAACTGAGTAAATAAGGTGGCAGGCTCAGGTATTTTTTTTAAGTAATTTTTCAAATTGTAAAAAATAAAACATAACCTAAGTCATTTGCTCGTGTCTGGCATTTAGGTTTTATATTATATTGACCATATTGATACTAAAATAACATTTGCCAGACGTCTAGGCAGGGGCGGATCTAGAATGTGTCATTGGGGGGGGCGGAGTTGAAAATTTTTGTAAATAATAAGAAAGTTGAAATTAAAGTTATTCCATTTTTTTATTATTTTCTATATTAATTTAAAAAGTTATGTTCAATTTCAACTTGATAACTTACTTCCGGGGGGGGCGATCGCCCCCATCGCCCCCCCCCTTGGATCCGCCAATGCGTCTAGGACGCTGCGTTTTTTTTAAATAATTTTAATTATGTAAAAAACAAATGCTCTATTAAGTGATTTGCTCGTCTTTATCTTATTATTTAATTGTTCATTAGTGTCCCCAAAATAAGAAAAAAATAATGCCAGACATGTATGTCTGCTTTTTGCAGCAAATAATTTTTAAAATTGTAAAAAATAATACCTAGCCTAAGACATTTTCCTCGTGTCTGCCATTTAGGTTTTATGTTAAATTGGCTATATAGATACTAAAAAAACATTTTGAGGAGTATAGGAAAAAACGTGCAAAATCAAAAAACTTAAATTTTTAGAAGAGCAATTTTAAACTTGAATACTGTGTAATCTCCGGGTCCTTTTAAAAAACTAACTGCTTTTAGGAACTCTATTAAAACAACATTATGGTAAACAGCAATGTTAAGTGTAAAAAAAAATAATACCATTATCTTTGCTTCTTTAGCTACCATACCAAAAAATATCCAAATTGACTTTGCACGTTTTTTCCTTGTAGTCTTCAATTGTTAATTTGTAAAAAACAAATGTTCTATTAAATGATATGTCTTATTTTTTAATTGTTAATTTTTGTTCCCTAAATAAGAAAAAAATAATGCCAGACGGGTAGGTGGTGTAATTTCAATTTCTTGCAAAAAATATTTTTAGGTAAAAAATGCATAAACATTTAACATAATATAAAAACAACATGTTTGTACGGGGGTCACCAAACTTGGGGGGTTAAAAGATAATATGACCCCATGACCTCATTTCAAATTTCAAGGTTATATTTTAAAAAAGTGCCTGTATTTAATTGCCCATAATAGGTTAAAAAACATAAAATAATAATAAGTAATAAAAAAAATATCTTTGACCTCTGACCCATACGGAAGTGTAACTGAGGGTCACCAAACTTGGGGAATCGAACAATTACATGATTTTATGACCGTTATAAGTAAAAAAAAACCGCTTGTTATAGCCTTTTCTAAAAATACCTACCCTAACCTAAAAGCGTTCTGGCTATAAAAAATCAGCAATACTCATGTCTGGCATAGTTATATTCACAGTGCTGACATACAACAAAATAATTTAACCAAGAGCCAGACACGAGCAAATAACTTAATATTAATTTTTTTTTACAATTTTGAAAATTCTTCGTTCATTATCGCAGTAAACATTAAATGGCAGACTTTTATTTTTTGCTTTTTTATGTCCCAATTAACATTTTGTATAAATTTTATTGACGAGCAAATCATTTAAATTTTTATATATCATAATTAAAAAAAAAATACTCATTACCTAATGCAGTGACATACACGTCTGGCGATGATATTTATCTGAAAGTCTTGTTAGGGACTTCAAGTTAAAAAAATGCGAGCAAATGACTTAAGGACATTTTTTTACATATTTAATTACCTACTAATTAATAATGCAGCAATAATGGTATGGCAGAAGTTGTCATTAGTGACTTTTATAATCCAAACTTCATTATTTTCAACTTCTGCCACGCGAGCAAATGACTTAAAAATTTCTGCCACCAGCTCCCTAACTAAAAGGTGTATGATCTATACGAGCAATAAAAAATTCCAGAAAATTGTTAAAAACTCTACCTTGGTTATTTAAAAAGATACAGGGTATACATATTTTTTTAAATGGCAACATTGCGTTCTAATAAGGTGGTATTTTAATTAATCATCATGACAACAAGTAACAAGATTAAAGTGTTAAATTTTACTAAGTAGTTATTTATTTTACGTCACTTGACAGAAGCACAAATAATGTAACCATAGATTAAATCTATGAAGAAAAACTAAACAAATATTAACATTACATTAACCACAAACAGCCTGTTTGAAACAGGCTAAATGACTGAATAAAAACACACATATCATAATACTTAGTGAGTAGTATAATTACTAGGGGTGTCAATCCCGAGCGCTTTTTCCAATCCCGGGACTTTCGGGACAAAAGGTAACTAATCCCGGGATCCCGGGATCAGACCTGAAAAAATATATATCTTTAATTTTAAAACCAATTTAAAATAAAGAAACAAACAAACTAACGAACGATTTCTTTTGGACTTCGCACACTTGTTGAAGAAATGGTTTTCAAGAATTCGTAGGCACATTGTACCCACGTTTACCCCCATTAACAAATAATTTCATTTCTTTTATCAATCGGGCCTTGGTGAGTTCCAATTGGGGCTGTAACTTACATTGAAATGATCGAGTTTCTGACATTTTTCAGGTTGAACGTTTCGTCGTTTATCTGACAAAAAGGCGTAACTCAAAAAAATGCGTTTTTGAGTTACGTATACCAGAATGATCACCAACATCGACTTTATAATCTCACAAACTGGCGTAACTCTATGATAAATACAAATAAAGTTTTAGCATAAAGCAGTTTCGGCGTAACTAATATTTTGAATTTTGTGTGTCGTACAAACTGGCGTAATTTAATTTACGCCGTTTTGTTTTATATGTGCATCTTTTAGCGTGTGTCTCACAAAAAGGCGTATTTCAAGTTACGCCTGTATGTAAGGTAGCGTCAGTGTTACCAGATTCTGTCAAAAAAAGACCGTACGTTTCGTTCGAATTTACCTTAATTACAAAAATGACTCAATGGACAATATTAAATAACGTCAACTTGACATAATTGCATTTATTTGCATTGTTTCATTGTGTCATTTTGTAGGTAAATTCGAACGAAACGTACGGTCCTTTCTTGACAGAATCTGGTAACACTGGGTAGCGTTGACATTAGAAGAAAATTGTCTAACCTAAAAATAGTGTATTACATACTTACTGTGTGCTAGTTTATACTATTTAATAGTGTTTTTACATCATGGATGTGCTTGTGGAGTGGAAAGATGGGACAAAAAATGTTGTAGTTTCTAATGAGTTATTTGCAATAAAATCCAGTCAAAAGTTGAAAGAAGGTGTAAAAGTGAAAATGTTGTTTCGGCGCAAGTGGTATTACGGAAAGATTTTGGCTATTGAGGACGAAAACGAATTAAGTGATGACTCTGATAATATTCCACTAAACAAATTGGTTGATGAAAAACAAAATAAATCGGGTCCTGTTGCGAATGAACTGTTAACAGATAGTTATACTGACAAACTATGTTCTAAAGATAGTTATGTCGAAAGTGGCGATAATAATATTATTTTCAACTCTAATAATGCTTTGCTACCTTTTGAGGAGGTAAGTTTATTGAATTTATAATTTACAATAAATTTAATACAATTTCTATATAGGTACAGCCTGCAGTCAATTTGCCTGTACCCACTGAGCACGTAAAAGAAGTAATTATTTATGAAAAATCACCAGAGAACAATGATATTCCAAATGGAGTGGATTTAAAATATGATGGGGTATTTTTACATATAAAATTATTATTTTTTTACAATCAATAATTTGTTTACAGACCACGGATTCAACTGTATATCCCATTATTACAGCACACAACACACTGTCAATATCACGAACCGCGTACTTATCTGATGATGACTCGGATAATGATGCTTCATTTAAGGAAGTTTGTCAGATTTATAAATGCAAAAAAATGGGTTTCAATTTTTGCGGTTGTGGATTTTGGATATGTAAAAATCATTTTTTTGATAAAAAACTTTGTAATATACATAAAAAACATGATTCTGACTCTGATACCGCTGATGTGTTATCAAAAAATAGAAACAAATACAAAAAGGTTAAAACCAAAACTATGACTGATCAATCATTCAAATTACCCAATAATTGTTGTGAACACCGTCATTGTGGACAAGAAGTATTTGCTGCATGTGTTTCCTGCTTGGCGCTCCTTTGTTGGAATCATTTTGAACTTAACGATTCTTGTACTTTCCATACAAGTATGGATACCAATGAACAGTCTGTATCTAATAAGCGAAAAAAACCAGAAGATTATCAACTCGATGGAGCCGAAAAAGAAGTGGTGAGAAAAAAGAAAGAAATAACTAATCAAAAGAACATTAAGTAACATCTCCATTTATCAGGTCAAGGCTATGTTAAACTTAATTCAATGAATCTTGTTCCTCCCAAACATGTTAAACCTCCATGCAAGGGAAAATTTTGTGATGCAAGACTTGGTGGTCGAATGTGTATGAAATTTTCAGAGGATCAGCGAAGGGAAATATTGCAAGATTTTTATAGTCTAGCTAATCTTCAACAACAGCGAGAATATCTGGCGCGGCATATACAAGTTAAGCAAACTAAACAGAAAACTACTCAAGATGTATCTCGTAGAAATAAAAGTAATTTATACTATTTACCTCTCTCAGGAGAAAAAGTTCGTGTATGTAAAATTTTTCTTTTGAACACGCTAAATATATCTGAGAAGACAATGCGTACATCTTTGGGGAAGATAAAAGAAACAGGTATTATGGACAAAGAGAGGCGTGGTGGAAGAAGACCTACATTACAAAAAAATGATCAAAGAATTAGAGAAGCAATGGAAAAGCACATAAGAAGGTTTCCCAGAGTAGAGTCCCACTACTGCAGAGCAAATACTACAAGAGAGTACTTACACTCCGATTTGAGTATCCCAAAAATGTACGCCTTATATTTAGAAGACAGCGACTTGCAAACACCTGGAAGTATAATAACATACAGAAGAGTTTTTAAATCTCAAAACCTCTCTTTTCATTCGCCCAAAAAAGATCAGTGCAGTCTTTGTGCCACTTACAGAGAATCGTCAGAAGAAGACAAGGGAAAAATCCAGAGTGTTTTTAACAAGCATACAGAAGAAAAGGAGAAAATACGTGAACTAAAAAACTTAAGTAAAATTCGAGCAATGTCTGACTCAACCAAATTATGTGCTGTTTTCGATCTCCAACAAGTGATACATTTACCATTATCTAAAGAGAGCGAAATCTTTTATAAACAACGACTTGCTGTATACAACTTTACAGTTTATAACATTGCATCGAAAGACTGTAGTTGTTATACCTGGCACGAGGCAATAAGCAAAAGAGGATCATCTGAAATAGCTACCTGTGTGCTATTATTTTTAAAAAAATATGATGAACTTGGTATTACATCGGTGGACTTTTTTTCAGATGGATGTTTCGGCCAAAACAAGAACTCTATTTTGCCGACAATGTTTTTGTATTTTCTTAGCAAAAGTAAACATATAAAAGAAATAACACATAGATTTTTTGAAAAATGTCATGGTCAAAGTGAGGGAGATTCTGCACACAGTGCCATTACCACTGCAATTTCTAAATCAGGTGATATTTATTTGCCCAGTCAGTTTATACCAATATTTAAATTGGCAAGAAGAAAACAGCCCTATGAAGTTGTTCAATTGGAATCAACTGATTTTCTTGATTTCAAAACTTTGTCCAAAGATTTAAGAATATTAACGATTAAAGAAGATGATAATCCCAAAGAAAAATTTAATTGGACCATGATGTCAGAAGTAACTGTTAAAAAAGATTCTCTGGGTAAATTTTTTTTCAAATGCAGTCATTTAGAAGAGGATTATCGTACCCTTGTCCTTAAACGACAACAAATAAATAATTTAAATAATTTACATGCTGTAAGGTTAAACAAACAACCACCAAAAATTTCAGCAAAAAAATACAAGGCTCTAACATCATTATGCCAAGGACCTACGCCGGTGGTTCGTCTTCAGGAACATAAAGATTTTTATATTTCCCTGCCACATGAAATTTTATAATTTTTGTAAAACATACATAATTAATGTGTAGGTAGTTGAGAATAAACTTTTTTTTTGGTTGTATAAATTTTTATCTATTATCGCATTTGAATTCAAGCTAAAACTTACTTTTGGTACCTTAAACGTGTTCAGTAAAGTAGGCGTAACTTGAAAATAAATTATTATTCTTATTATCACAAATCTCACAAACAGGCGTATCTCATTTTTTATAATTTTTTTAGCCGACACGAACGCAAAAAACCAAAATAAACATTGGAGAAATAAAATTTAGTTATTTTCCAATACTTTTCTGTAATAACATATTAAAAATATGAATAAACAAATTGTTAATTGCGATTATTAAACAGGACAATATTTGTTTTTGCTCTCCTGTAAAATAAGAAAAAATGAGATACGCCTCTTTGTCAGATAAACGACGGTTTGAACAATATTATATTATAACCTATAATTTATTCGTATTCATAGAATGTATTCTACAGTGACCTGTAATTTTACATTTTCTTTGCTGATTTTATGCTTAACGCGATAGATGTAACCACTCTTGCTATGTAATCTCAATGTATTTTCATTATTGTACGGCGGTGCATAATATTTTGTCATTTTACTGCGTAAAAAAATTTGGTATTTGTATGCTTATAAGTATTATAATATGAAAATTGTCGTAAGCATAAAAGTATATTTTATTCTTTGTAACTTATTACTATGATCCCGGGAATTTTCGGGATCGGATTTTTAACAGGATCCCGGGATCTCGTGATTTCGAGATTGACACCCCTAATACTTATTAAAGGAATACGTATCAATATTTAACAGAAATTCTAAAAGTAAATCTTATTTTGAATTTTAACTGTCAATCATTGCCTATGGTGTCATGTCAACAGATAACAATCAATTAACCAATTAATTGTTGTGATTAATAATCACTGATTATTCATTGTTGCACATCATGGTGCCAAACCATGGGTAAATCTTAAAATGCATTTTTTCATAAGAAGAAACATTAATTTCTAATGAAACCATTGTTTGAACATTCTGTAAATTAGACCTAATATATATAAGACTTGAAACAATATAATCAAAGTAAACCTATTATTTTTAAGTTTAAAAACTCAATGTTTACGCTCTCATATCTTTTTAACCCGTAACCGGTACTGTGGTGTCTGGGAGACACTCATCAACGAACAAAGCGCTGTCACACCCTCACCTTTTGTTTTAAAAATCTGTCGCTTCCAATACTTTTAAGTTAAGCAGTTATCAATATGCTCTCAGACTTTGAACAAGTTGGATTGTCAAACGGACAAATTATTAAGAGTCAAAGTGTTGAGGTGTCTGGTAGACCACTGCGTACCGTTTACGTAATTTTTATAAAACAATTAATTCCTTATGGATTCGCAACAAGGGCCTTCTAAAAGTGTCCAAAGTGATAAGAAGGGCTTTAAGGAAACTGTAATGTAGTAGTTTTATGAAATCGACATTGATATAAGTGATATAGATGACTGTAGTATATTACATAACCATTATAGTGATTATGTCGTTGAAGATAATCACAGCAGCGATTCAGGACTTGTCTGTGTCAGACTCTGTGAAGAGTCTATAGAAAATAATTTTATGAGGTCAGATGGTGAAGAATTTGAAATTTTTTAGGAATTTAAAAAAAACAAAAAAGTTACTACGGAAAAAATAATTGTAAAAATCAGCTATAGTTTGAAGCAGTTATTTTTGCTGTTTAAAAAAGATATATTTGAATTTTTTTTGTTTATGTTATTTTTTAAGGTATATTCTTCGAAATAAAGATCGGTTTATTTTGTTTGGTTTAATATTTTTTATAGTTTAATCACAAAGTTTGCACTACTGCACTTTTTGTACATGTTTTGATTAAAACCTATTTGTTTAAATTTTTATTTTATTTAGGTATTATTTTTGGTGATATTCTAACTTTATATATAGTTCCTAGTATCCCCAAAGCCTCAGATAAAAAATAATAATATAAATTATAATTTTAAAAGGCAGGTGTCTCTCAGACCACTCAGTACCGTTTATGACCTGAAAGTCGTACAGTACCGGTTACGGGTTAAATAATATATGTTACAATTTTCTAGGATTTGTAGGGGCACCTTCAAGGTGGTACACCCTGTATATACAACGTAGTTTTTATTAACCCCATTTATATTATTAAAACATAAACTTTTACTTTTAAAATTAAGTCAGGATTATAAACCATTGCACAATTCATCCTTTTATCCGAAGATTGCTTAAATTTGAGTAGTTTTATTAAGCGACCCGCTTTAACGGTTAAGTTGTTCTGGAGTTTATAGATTGGAATTTAATGATTGTGTTGCAATGTACGTATTATGTGTGCATAGGACAACGTGGGCGTTATTTTAAATGAAATTTATCAGAATGCCCCATGGGAATTTAGTTTTGCACAGATAAACTTTGTTTTCAGCATACCTATTGAAAAAACGCTTGATGGTCAAGAAAGATACAGCCAGTGTTTTATGTACGATTTAAATTATAACAAGTCGATGTTTAGTGGTAGTTTAAAGGATACTACTGCCAAAATTCCTTGCAAAAATGGTTGGGTCTATGATACTGATAGCAACACGCAAACAGTTGTGATGGAGGTAACCAATATTGATAAAAGGTGTGATAGAACTTCAAACTTAAATAAAACAAATTAAAGTAAATCTTTTAAAACATTTCATAGTATATTTTATTTATTGTATGTATTATTAATTAATTAATATTAATTTAACCTATCTGATCACTATTCACAAATAATAACTTCAGAAACCATAAGTAAAATAACTAAAAAAGTCATACAAGTTAGATCATTTAACATGAAAAATACTAACCTCTTCTTACATTTCCTACAAAATGCATATAATATGGAATTTGATAATTTTACAGCACAGGAATCCTTTGATGTATTTCATGAACTATTTTTTAACTTCTGCTTTAATTATTTTCAAAAACTTAAGACATAAAAAATCAAAACTGTTTGGAAATACAGAACTCCAGAATCCCCAAAAGGCAATGTGGAATATTATAAATAGGGAAACCAACAGAAAAAATAAGATATTTTTAAATGAAGAATCCACTTTAACGCCACGAAGTTTAATTGTTAATTTAAAAATTCTATTGATGATGCTCTAAAAAAATACCACCTGTGAAAAACACCTCAGAAGAGCTTTGGAATAAAATGAATAAGTCAGTTGAATATTCGTTTTACTGTCGCAATGTAACGAAAACTGAAATATATAACTTAATAAAAAAATTAAAGACCAAAGGGACCCAAGATATATATGGATTAAATGAAAAAATGTTAAAGGAAGTTTCAGCATAAATTTCAAAACCAATTTCCAAAATAATTAACAAGTGCATTGATGAAGGCCTATTTTCAAACCAACTCAAAATGACAATAGTTGTACCATTATACAAAAAAGGAGATTTGGAAAGCTACAATAATTTTAGGCCAATTTCTGTATTACCTACAATTTCAAAAATATTTAAGGGGGCCTTAAAATAAAGACTACTGGAAAATTTTAAAAAAATAGTATTTTAAATGAACAACAGTATGGACACAGAGCAAATAGGGGAGTAGATATAGCCATAAATAAATTATTAACCAAAATTTTAAATGCTCACGATGAAGATCTTGATATTGAAATAGCTTGTTGTGATCTAAGTGTTTGACACTGTTAGTCACGAATTGTTATTAGACAAATTATACAATATGGTATCAGAGGCCAATGTCAACAATTATTTAGATCATATCGCAGATACCAAATTAAAAAAATGGAAAAATAAATATTCCAAAGATTTAGTTTAGTTTAGGATCAATAGTAGGTCCCATTCTTTTCATTATTTAAAATAATGATTTACCAGCAAACGTTCCAGATTGTACCTTTTTGCCGATGATACTTCTCTTTTGTATAGTGGAAAAACTAACTCTAAAGTAACAATTGTTAAAGAGTGGATGTGTGCCAACAAACTACCATTAAATGTTGAAAAGACTCAATATATGCAATTTTTCTGTGATCCAAAATGTGATATTAAGTTTTTAGGACTAGTTATCGATAATAGGTTAAAATGGGATATTCATACTGAACAATTAATCAAAAACCTAAACAGTAAACAATATACTGCATTCGGAAACTAATACAAAATGCTAACAAAAGCACCGCAAGCAAAAGCATATTTCGCAAATTTTCACAGCAAGATTAGCTATGGCATCCTTTTTAGGGGTCTATCTGGTGAGTCTCAAAATGTATTTTTATCACAAAAAAGGTATTACAAATACTATGATCTATTAAACAGATGGACAGCTGTAGACAATATTTTTTAGCAGAAAAGATTTTAACTTTTTATGCCAGATACATCCTATCATGTTCCAAGTTTGTATATTCCAGGTGGTAACCAATTAACAGGTCCTTTTGTATATTTTGTAGTAGGTTTCATGCTCTTACGATGGCGGCTTTATCTCTTAAATGACCTAGTTCTTGCAAGATCTTAAACTAAGACTTTAAATATTCAAACTTGACAGAGCCTCAAATGTTGCTCGCAGAGCCCAATCGAGTATTTAGATCTCATCCGATACACTTCTGAATAGAAGCGATATTATCTTTTTTTGAGATATAGAGTAAACTTTATCAAATAGTATCAACCAGGTTCACAATTGTTTGTCGAAATGTTTTAAAGGACTCTGGTGATGGACGCAGCTCTGAAAGTATCGGAAACAGAACTACTACTATAGTAGTTTACCATAGTGATCTATGACACTACATAAAAATAACCATTTAACTTTGGCACATCACAACTGGTTTCAGAACTGGTTTAACCAGAAGTTCTATCACACCACAAAATCACTCTTTACAATTTTATTATTTTTATTACAATAGCTACCTTTTTAGTGGGATTTGGTTTGTTCGAAAAGCTTGTCCACAACACTTGCTTTAGTTTTATTGGGCATCGGTGGGCTTATAGGAAACTATATTTTTGGATACATCCAAGATGGCCTCGGTAGAAAACCAGCCTTTTTTATTTACCTCTTTATCCAGTGTTTCTTCGGGATTGCCACAGCTTTCTCTCCAAATTTTATAACATGGGCTATTTTTAGATTTTGTGTAGGTTTTACAGTGCCTGCTATTTTGGGAACACCATATGTTCTAGGTAACTTAGTAAATGTGATGGGGAATATAAGAAGATACTTATAATTAATTAATTAAAATCGCATTTTCTTGCTTAACAGTTTTCTATTGTTATAGTGATTTTTATATTTCATATCAAAAATACTATACTTTGTTTTAATAATCAGAATATTATTTTAGCTATTGAATTGGTTGGTCCAAGAGATCGGACTTTAGTAACGATTTTAATTAACATAGCCTACTCTTTAGCTTTAGTTTCTTTGGCTATAATAGTATGGGCTTTAAGAGAGTGGAGAATTTTGGCATTAGCAACAACTTTGCCGTTTATATCATTGTTTTTCCATTGGTGGCTTTTACCTGAAAGTCCCAGATGGCTATTGGCTCAGGGAAGATACGAGGAAGCAAAGAAAATTCTCCTCACCATGGCTAGAGTGAATGGAAAAAAAGTTCCAGAGAATTTTATGTCAAAAATAGAGGAAAAAATGAAAACACAACAAAAATTAAACCAACTATCGTCCACGTACGGGATAAAAGATCTTTTTCGTTCGAAGAATTTAAGATGGAAAACAATTATTATTACGTTCATTTGGTTTACAAATACCAGTGTGTATGTAGGGCTTTCATATTACGCGCCTGCTTTGGGAGGTGACGAGTTTTTAAACTTTTTTCTGGCTGGGGCGGTGGAAATGCCCACATACCTGTTTTTGTGGCCGGCAATGGAAAGATGGGGCAGGCGGTGGACTTTGTGTATAAGCATGGTTGTTGGAGGGTCAGCCTGCTTAGCAACCTTTTTAGTAGAAAATGGTAAGTTGATATTTTTAATTTCTAAATAAAAGAGGTATAGTAAGGAGAGTATTGAAGGTCAACATTTATAGGTTTGGTGCCACGAAATAATTTTTAAAAATTGCTTTTTAATCACACCCATTACTTATGACTATTTGAGCTATTGAAGCTCTTTTATCTCTTATGAGAGATAAGCAATAAAATATGCGTTTGTTTTAGATTTTTACGTGACGTTGGGACTCTACTGCATTGGAAAAATGGGTATTTCTTCTTCATTTGTAGTATTACCCTTAATGGCTTCAGAATTATATCCCACAGTGGTTCGGGGTCTTGGTATGAGTATAAGCTCTGTTATGGGTATGCTGGGACCTATATTTATACCTTTAGTAAATTATCTGGTAAGTTATTGTCTTGAAATAAAGAAGGTGAGATGGAACTTGAGTTAATGTCTGATGTTAATTCCCTATCCTTTAAACAAAAATTAATGTTACCTAACGTAAAATTTTCTTTAGGGTACTGATATGTTGACTTTACCATTGATAATAATGGGTACGATGTTGGTAATGGGAGGAGCCTGCTCTTTACTACTGCCAGAAACTTTAAATCAACCTCTTCCGCAAACTTTGGAAGATGCTGAAGAAGCCGGTCTTGATTTTTTTGCAAGCTGCCCAACACCAGCACGACATCAAAATGAAAATATTCACCAATGTTAAAGCTCAAATATTTTTATTTTGTAACACTTAACATTTTTTGTGCACTGTAAACGTTTTTAATATAATGCAATAATATTGTATTTGCCCTAACTTATTTTATTTATATTTACATATTTTATTATCAACAAAAAACATGTTTATAGATTTCTATTTTTTAAATGTCATGTAAGGTTTTAGAATTAACTAAGTCATAAATATAATAATTATTATTTGTACAAGTTAAACTGACCAAATTTTTACATAATCAACTAAAAAATGATAGCTTCCATCCTCCTTCCAGGTAGGTAACCATTGTTCCCTGCCCTTCCAAAAATCTGTGGCCCCACTGTGTGCATTATTGGACCATGGTTTGCCACCTGGATTAATAACATCATCGGGAAAATATGACATACCACCAATGGCCAAATTTATAATCAAATAGAACTCTTGATCGAATGGAGCCATCTTAGTGCCTCCACGCCATGGATTTTCCAAGTTGGTTTTATCCAAATCGCCGTATTTCCAGAAACCGCCATCTGTTGGTTGGACTGCACCAATAACTTCATCGTCGATAGAATATGTGATTCCATCTGGAGTCCAGCTCAGTTGATAGTTGTGAAATTCAGCGTTGAAACCTTCTGATAAAGATGCTTCAAAGTGAGCTAGCCTATACCTGTTGAAGGTACTATTTGGTCCAAAATGGAGAGTACTTCCCACTAATTTCGAACCAATATTTTTGCCAGTAGCCTTATTTTTTAGATCTCTATTTCCGCGGCTTTCCATTATGTCAATTTCCCCGGACGCTGGCCATCTTGAGTATTTGTTGTATTTAGGCATCAGCCAAATAGCTGGAAGAAAAGTTATAATAAACCTTTAATCGTTAAATATGTTTAACTTACCTGGCCATAGCCAATCTCCAGCTGGAATTTTAGCTCTAACTTCCACTTTGCCATATTTAAATGCAAAAGATTCAAAAGTACGAATACGGGCGCTCTTAATTGGATTTATAATATTGTCGGGGGTACCTGTTCTGTTACATCCATTATGAACTGAATTTGTGCATCTTAAAAAATAACCAAATTAATACACGTCATTATAATATCGGGTGCTTCATAGATATGAGCAGTTTTTAATAAATTATAATAACAGTTATATTATAAAACCCCATAAAAAATATTTATTATTTAAATAACATTCCATCCCATTATAAACATTTTTTTAAACTGCATCTCAAATTTGTTAAAAATTTGTTGACGACACAGGAGCTTCAACTTAGACTAAGTTACTTAGTTAACATCTGGTTGGTTGGACCTAGTCTTCTTGATTGGGGGTAAAGCCTGTAGCTTTATATTTTCTGACCTACGACCTACACCATAATCCGAACTTGGAGAGACAAACGACGTTTATGACTCTCTGAGTTCGAATTTTTAAACGTCTTACAACTGAGCATGAATCGCCATTTTTGTAAAAAAAAAAAACGCGTGCGGAGCATATCTTTTAAGGTAAAAAATACCGTTTCAGACTAAATCGACCATGCCCTTTTCATCATCGTTGGCAATAATCCGATACAATTTGTTTTGATATGCTGCAAAAACTTAACCTGAACCAATATTTACATTCTTGACATGTTTTAAAAGTTATTATTGTTATTGTTTGTTACATTTTTCTGTTGAATGTTGTAGTTTTGATTATGATTATATTTTCGCATAAAATTTTCAAAAATATTTTTATTTAACTTTATTAACAATTAGGTAGGTACTTATCAGTGATAAGTTATCACTAGTGCGCAATGTAAGTGAAGGTTATGTAACATTATCCTACTCACCCCCAAATGGCATTTTAATAAAAAATATGCAAGAAACACGCCAGCAAACGGATTTTATTAAGACATTTAACAGCCAGGAATTGTTTTCGAATTTTGATTCTTGGTGATTTTGGTTTTATCTGAAACTTAAATTTGACAACTAAATCACAATCAGGAGGTCAAAATTATGAAAAAAACATGTCACGAACGTAAATATCGGTTGAGGTTTAGTATTTGCAAATTGTCACCAAAATGTTATTTTGAAAAAGTGGTCTTTGCTTAGGCTCTCTGACAATAATTGAATTTTGTTGCTTGTCGCTTGTTCGGAATTATTTAAGGAACAATCTTTCACCATATTATCTTCTTGTTTCTAGAAAGACTGAGTGTATTGCCTACAAAAAAGCCTTAAATGTACTCATTTGGAAAAAAAACATATTTTCCTTGCTAAGATTCCAATTCGAAAAATTTGAAAAACGTTTAATACTTCATTAATTCCATGTAAAAACGAGAACAAAATTATTTTTTTACAAACGGGGCTTGGATGAAATTATTGAAATTTTTCACCATTTAACATATCACCATGTACGAAATTTACTTGAAGAACCGTGAGCTTCATATCTATAGCATGAATTGCTAGAGGATGAGGCTAGCAGACATCACAGACCAAAATAAAATCGTTCAAGAACCAAAAAGTTATGTCGTTTTGAAAAAGAACGAACTTTTTGGTCGCGACACATTGAGTGGTGCGCAGTTTAATTGAAATTGTTTAAATAATTCTTACTAAATACCAAGTTGTTTTGCAAATGTTATTTTTCAAATAAATTCATCGTGAAAAAAAAATCATTTTACAACTAAAAAAATTTAATCCAAGTATTGTAAAGTCATGAGTTATCAATTTTTCTATTAAATGTTGTCAAATTTTAGGTAACAAAAATAATAAAACGGTGCGGAAATTCGAAAAATGATTTAAAGTGTTATTTTGCTTAGTTATCTACCTATTTTACCATTATCGTTACTTTCCAAAAAATCATTAAAAATTCATGGAAACATTTGACGTGGTTTGACTCATAGCGGTTACTGTTACTGCTAAATGCAAAAAAACCTATACCTATTTATGTATGTTACCTTCCATTTAGCAGTAACAGTAACCGCTATGAGTCAAACCACGTTAAATGTTTCAATGAATTTTTAATGATTTTTTGGAAAGTAACAATAATGGTAAAAATATAAATATATTATAGGTACACATAATTATGTAAAAATACTTATGAGTAATATGTATAATAGGGTGGGTTGAAAACAAAATGTTTGTTTTTTTTTCTTAGCATGGGGGTAGAATTTGTACATTATAAAAAAAGAAAATTTTTCAAAAGAAAAAAATTTTTTTTACTCAACATCTTGAGGTGGCCCACTCGTTTTTTAAATTAATATTTAATTAATAGAGATGAGATTTTAGTGTTATTACCTATTTGCCTACGCTAATCATAATTTTAGGTGTAATGGAATAAAAACCGTTTTGAAGAAAATGATATCATTTGGGCCTAATTTTATTTTACCTATTTTACCTAAATTTTCATTTTTAAGAGAAATGGACCTAATTTTTAATTTTACTACCTAAACTAGTGTAATTTTACCTATTTCATCTAAATTCTTATTTTTAACACAATTTTTTATTTTTAACAGATTTTTTTTTTGTAATAATGGGGTTGTCGTATTCGGATGACATAATTCTTATGGACAATGTAGTTATTTATTTTGTACAGGATTGGTAATATAGGTTGGTACTGCGGTTTTAAAATTTCCGAAAAACTTGATCCGGAGCGGCGCTAAAAAACCCGTTTTATTTTCAAAATAAAAACGGAAAAATTGTTAATTTTTCAGAAAAGTTGACTTTTGCATATTTTTTATTTTATTCCAAGGGCAATAAGAAAATTTGCAAAAGTCAATTTTTCTGAAAATTTTTACGGATACCTACTATCCGTACACTGATATCGAGAAAAAAGTGAATTTTCGACCCTGAATATAATCCTATTATTATGATTATAATAATTATTCCTCTTATTTTAATCCAGTAGAAATATTCTACCGGGTCGCAAAAAAACTTATTCGGTGCTGAATAAACATAACTTTCGTTTTATTTGACACTTCGATTTATAAAATTATAATTTTGTAATTTAACTTTATAAATCATGCATTGTTTTGTATTTTCAATGGACTCTTTTTTGCACAAAAGACCCAAGAAACTGTATATTTTACGTTTACGTTTATTTTTTTAAATCAATTTAATTTAATTCAATGCAATGTTTAGTTTTATTTATTTTTTTCTGTAAAGTTATTTTTTTTAAGTTGTTGCTTTATTTTAAATGTGTATTATCCAAAAAATATTTTATTTTTTCCCAAAAAAAGCCAATTTTCCCAACGCCTGAGAGAAAAACGAAAAAAATAGGGTTTACTCCCAATTTTTCCGGGTTTTTTTCCGACCCATTAAAACCCTAGTTGGTACTGGAAATTGCGAACAGCGCGCAGTGCGTCGAGTATATGCAGATGGGAATCAAAAATAATATCTTATTAATTAAATCTTTTTTTTATTATTTTTGACTATTAAAATATTAATATAAATAAATACTGTACAAGCAAATAACATTTTCTCTAAAAAATCTACAGGGCGATAGAAAAATGCATGTTTTAATTTACTCATATATTAAGGTTTATTAAAAAATGGCTTTATTAATAAAAAATGGTTCAAATCAAAAATATTTTTTTTTAATTTTATGAAAAAATGTTTTTAAAAATAAACTAAGTAGTATACAGTGTGAAACAAAACATAATAATTGTCTTTGAAATGAACGGAAACAAATAGAACAGAATGTCATTGACAATTTAATATTTAGTATGACACGAAGGTGCAGAGCAGTTATTAACAATCTAGGAGGACACACCCTCCATTGATAAAGTCAAAAAACTTTATTTATTGACCAGATGAAAGTTCATTAATCGAGATATTAGTGGGACTCGGAAATAATCCAGGATATAATAGATTTATTGTTCTACTTAGGATAATGTATTTATTCTCTGAAAAGTACAGATATAAATAAAGGGCTAACGCTTGTTGACAAACATTTTTTATGACTTGTTGAAGGTGCTGTTTTGTTTGCGGAAATTTTTGCAGCAAAGTTAAGTTCAGCTGGACTCCAGTTTTTAAGTAAATCTTTTATTCTCCTCTTTTTGGTTTGAGTGGTACCGTCCTCAAATTTTTTTTGTGGTCTACCTCGACTTGTTTTAGGAGTAGAATTTTTGTTTTTAGTTATAAAGAGTTTAATATTTTCTGGAAAAGTAAACCTTTGCTTGAGCCAAACTTCATTCTTTTTGAGGAAGGTCGAACGCATTCTAGCACACTGTTTCCATTTATTTTTTACTGTGAGGCAAAAATATTTGGATGTTCTATTGATTTCTGCTTTGATAGTCTCTGGGCACTCATTTACATCTATATTTAACAAAAATTTTATTTTACTTGCAACTGCTTTGATCTTTTGTATTTTATTTGTTACCCATGCATCAAATATATCAGCATTAGTACCGGTAACCAAATCTGCAAAAAAGTATATCATCAAGGTCTGCAAGATTCTGCAAAAAACTAATGCAGTAACAAGTAATAGAAGGATGGACCTTGTAATTAGTATAAAAAAACTACATATGGTTTTCAATGTAATTAGTAAAAATCTTCGTAAATAGTTAAGTTAAAATTTTTAATGTAAATTTGCACCAATTTCTATTAAAATGTGATGTAAAAGGCCTTATTTAAATATATGCTAAAAAATAGACATTCATAAATAAGCACTTACCTTCAGAATCAACTTCTATCATAAAGTTTAACAAAACACTAATATTGGGTATAAATTAGAATTCATCAAACTACTAAACAATTTTCCTTAAATTTAACTAATCTTATTCCGTCTTTTCACAACCTTTAACTTTAATGCCTTGTATTTCAACGACAAATAACTTCGGCTAACTAAAATTGGTTATTGCCTATTTTTCATTTATAATTAATGACATGACAGTTATAAGAAATGATCCAAAGCCTACTTGTTTTTTTAATTTTTTACCACAGCTCGACGCACTGCAGCGACGCGAATGTGACATTCCTGTGCAGTGTTGCCATGCATGCTTTTGCATGAGATATCAAGTTTTCCCAATAAATCTCATGTTATCATGTTTTATTTAAAAATGTCATGTATTTACACATAGCTTTTTTATGAAAAAGTATTTTTTTAACATTTCTATCATAATAAATTTATTTTCAGCAATTGTATGCTTATTAACAAAAGTATTTTGAATATGCCGCCGCGTTAAAAAATTATAAGATTATAAAATTTATATTTTTACAAGATATATTCGTCAGTTATTTTGAAATCATAAAAATCTTGTTCAATAGAATTTTATACAATATTAATTACATTTTACCACCTAAAAGTTGCTTTCCAGTACCTAATTTAAGAATTTTCACACCTAGAACAAGAAAAAACTTTACCTATTTAGGTACCTATTTTTATAAATTTGGCAACCTAAAATCTCATCTCTATTAATTAAATAGTTCCAACGGGAAATTCTTTTTTTGGTCCAAAATCATGGAAAACATGTATAAATTGTAGAATGTTATTTTTTTTCACTCTACTTTCATTCTAATACAAAAGAAAGTGCATTTCATTTTTTTAATTTTTTACTTAAATTACAGAAACAATGAGAACAAACTTTTTCAACTTTTAACTTCCAATTGGCTTTTAAGGGGACACCCTACAGATTCTAGAACAAAAAAAAAAGAATTTCCCGTTGGAACTACCCCATTTGATTAAATATTTATTTAAAAAACGAGTGGGCCACCTCAAGATGTTGAGTAAAAAAAAATTTTTTTTTTTGATAAATTTTCTTTTTTTATAAGGTACAAATTCTACCCTCATGCTAAGAAAAAAAAACAAACATTTTGTTTTCAACCCACCCTAATACAAAATTTATGTCTGTTTTATAGGTTGACTAAATTTTGCTAGTTCATTAGGTACGTTTTCTCGTAAGTTTTACTATAATTTAATAATAAAGTGTAAACGTTTATTCTTAGGTTTTTAATAATTGTTAATAATGTGTTTTTGTAGGTTAATTTAAAACTTTTCATAATCTGAAACCCAGGAAAACGTGCTAATACAGTTGAAAATTTGTAGATACCCAATTACTAAAATCAATACCTTAATATCTCGATCATTATTTTTTTTAATTAGCAAACGAATAAAAAACTAATTCCATTAAAAAATTAGAAATCCGTACACGAAATAGGTTTTTTGCAAACATTTTGTCTACGAATGGCCAAAGTATCTTTAGGAGTTTTAATTTGGAAGAAAAAATTATACAAAATTATTGTGTACCAGTCGCAACTCAAGGATCAAGGATCAGGTATCAAGGATCCCGTCCAGCACAAGCTCAAACTTTGTAATTGATTATCATTAATTAAGGGTGGAACCTGTTGGCTTAATTGAATTGGTGAGTGGAAAAACAAAACAAGAGTCAAAAATGGCGTTTTGAACTGAGATAATCAAACCCTTTCCCATACCATAGCCTGTCCAATTTCAGACTGAGTCGAAGAACAATATAAGTACCGCGAACACGCGTATCTAGAAGAAGTTCATATTAATGAAAAAAAGATAGTGGATATAAAAAAATTCTTCAGTATGTTGAGGGAGAAACTCTTGAGTTTTACTACCATCATGGAAAGTAAACAATAATAATAATGATTAAAAGAAATATTAATAGTTTTTTAATATTTTTTATAAAGCTGCAAAATCAAAACCCATCTAGAGATTCCTTAATTGAATGAAAGAACAGTATATTGATTTGAAAATATCTCTTAAGTTTTTTTCCTTTCTTAAAGTGACCTCACATTTAATAAACATTTATGCTACAACTTTGCAATGCATCAAAATTCAAAAAAGCTGAAGGTTTTCTCGGAAAGCAGTTTTTTTTTTATTTCCTATATATAAACTTTTCAATTGTACTTGTATTGTTCTTCTACTCACCAATTCAATTGTTCTACAACCTTATCGTATGGGACACTGTAATGCGGGGTTAGGGTCAAAATCTCGACAATCAAAATCCCGTCAGTTAGAATCTCGACAGACGAAATCCCGACAAGTCAAAATCTCGACAAGTTAAAATCCCGACAAGTGTAAATACCGACAAGTTAATATCCCGACGAGTTAAAATCCCTTCAAGTATAAATACCGACAAGTTAAAATCCCCACGAGTTAAAATCTCGACATGTAAAACTAGCTTTGCATCTTTAAAAAATATCCCTGTATAAAGTATATTTTATATCCATATATGGAAATAACCTATATGTTATTTTTGTTTTTTTTAACTCCACATAAATTAAGTTTTTTTACCTTAATACATTTAATAATTTATAATTCCCTTTACCTTCAAACCCCAAATATAATTAAAAGAAAGATCAAATATAATTAAATAGATATATAAATGTCTTCCAGGTATTAATAATAATATACTTAAAGACTTCTAGACTGTCATTATTATTATTATTATTAGTTCTTCATCTTCGTATTCGTATCTATAAGTGAAAAAATGACTGAAACCTGTGAAATCGTTTTCTCCCAGAAAGGCAACCCCAAGTTGAACGTCAATGGTTACTTAATGACAAAGGAAAAAAATCGCGATGATGAGAAAAAAAAGTCTGCCGATTGCAAAGGAAGAGCAACAACAATCGTTCTGGATGGAGGACACCGCCTGCGAAAATGTGTGGAACATAACCACGCACCTGAAGCAAGTGCTGCGACTATTTGCAATACTATACAGGATATAAAGGAACAAGCCCGAAAAACAAGAGACCTGCCATGTCAGTTAATTAAAAAAAATGGCTACTATTGAAAAAAAGTATGTTCCATACTTGCCATCAAAAGATGCTCTTTGCCAAAAAATTAAACGTGCGAGACGTGCTAAAAAACCATCGGAGCCGCAATCTTTAGAAGAAATAGATGTCCCAGAAATATTAACGAAAACGTTAAGCGGGGAATTGTTTCTTATATATACGGGATTCTGAAATTGTAGAGGACAGGATTTTAATATTAACAACCAAAGATAATATTCTGCGTTTATCTCAGGCACCTTTTTGGATAATGGACATATGTGAAAATCTTATTCGTGGTGAAGGCTGTACAAAACTGAAGAAAACATCGATTGTTAGAGAAAACAGGATAAGAACAGTTATGGACAATCGAGTAAACTTGTCCTTGATAGATTACCTTCGGGGCATCGCTCATAGCGTTTTATTATAATAAAATATTTATTTTAAAAAATGCATATTTAATTTCATTCCCGTCAAACAATCTTTATATTTTACATCCTTTTACATTTTACATTCATACCTACACGTATGTATATATAAATAACTTGTCGGGATTTTGACTTGTCGAGATTTCGACTTGTCGGGATTTCGACTTGTCGAGATTTCGACTTGTCGGTCTTTTAACCTGTCGAGATTTTGTCTGTCAAGATTATAACTGTCGGGATTTTAATTGTCGAGATTTTGATCGGCACCCTGTAATGCGATCTCCGAGAGAAATAAACTTCTAAGAACTGTGCACAATCAATCATTTAGGTAAAAATATTTTACACAGAATGCGCTGTACTTATTTTGACTTAATTTTCAATCATAACTACTATTCCAATTCAATAATAAATTTATATCCGATATAACTCACCGATATATTTGCATAGTGGCTGAGCTCAGAAAAGCTTCACCCTTTTCATCGGCTAAAAGCGTCGGTTTGATATGTAAAACACCATCCTCCACGTACGAGTTGGATCTGTTGTTGCAGTAATATTGAAACTCGTAATTCTAAACAAACATAGTTTTATTCATTAAGCATTTTTTTATGTAGATAAATACTTACTCCTCCGCCTGTAAGAGTATGTTCGTGTTGCCATACAGTTAAATCCAAAGTGTCAAAGTTATCTTCAAAAATCAATTGATCAGCACACAAAACTTTACCAGCCCGTGATCCACTGACCGTTGTCACCGAAGGGAGGCAAAAGTCAGAATTTACGTTAATCACCAAAAAACTAATAAGAAAAAGTTCAGTTTTCATTTTAAACTTAATATTTATGTAGGTGTGCCTACACGTTTAGTTAATCAAAAAATGAAGCGACTCGCAGCTCACAAGTAAGTATCATTAAAAGGTGGTTTAAAATGGAAATTTCTTTTTGGTTAAATATTGTGGTAGATATTAGACTGTTTTAATTGTTTCAATGAAATAATATAAATAATTAAAAATATTCGTAAAATATTAGTAAAAATCGTAAAAACAAATAGGTATTTAAGGGAAAACATTAAATACTATACGTTGCACAAAATATATTAAGGTCTTAATTATATCTATATTGTTTTACATTAAATAGGCCAAACTCTAACATAATCTACATCATTTATCCAGGTGGGCAACCATTGAGTTCTGCCATTCCAGAAATCTGTAATAGCCCATTTGGTGATGTATTAAACCATGGTTTACCACCTGGATTGGTGACTGTGTCAGGAAAATACGCTATACCACCCACAGCCAAATTCAGAATTAAATAAAATTCTTCATCGAATGGTGCTATCTTTGAGCCTCCCTTCCAAGGATTCTCCAAGTTAGTATAATACAGCTCTCCCGAATTCCGAAATCCTTGATCTGTTGGCCTTACTTTACCAATAACTTCATCGTGAATAGAGAAGGTGATTCCATCTGGAATCCAGTTGATAGTTGTGGAAAGCAGCATCATAACCTTCTACTAACGTTTTTTCATAGTGAGCGTGCATATATATCTATTGTAATCGGTATTTGGTCCAAAGTGAGTTAATGGAACGACAGTTGTAAATAATGACGTGGTTAAGTTTCTTGGGCTCCAAATAGACTCGACAATTCAAATTAAAACTTTCATATCAAAAGTAAACTCTGCTAGTTATCTATTAAGATATCTAGTTAACCACGTCACCGTACAAAGTCTAAAAACATTTTACTTTTCTTATGTTCAGTCTGTTTTAAGTTATGGCATAATATTTTGGGGATCCAGTGTTAGATTTGAGTCAGTTTTTATTGCTCAAAAACCTTCTATACGAGCAATGTTAAAAATAAGCAGAAGTGTATCATGCAAAGAATATTTTAAAGCGCATCAAATTTTACCACTGCCTTGTCTATATATTTATCATCTTTTAATGTTTGTGAGACAGAATTGAAACTTATTCGTCAGAAATAATGATGTTTTAATGGTATGCATACCAGGGGAGGTACGTTGCTAAGGGTCCCCACACATTATTCCGAATTGTATCATCGAAGCGTTTTGTACAGATATGTTCAAGTTGCAAATAAGTTACCAAATGAAATGAAGGACATCCCATCAATTACAAAATATAAATATGCTGTAAAAGATTTTCTATTACAAAACTGTTTTTACTCTTTTAATGAATTTATTAGCTTTTAATTTGTTAGTGTAGGTTTTTACTTAATATTTTAATGATTTTAAATAATGTATTTTAATCTTAATTTTACTATTATATATACTATTATATATATTATTATATGTAGGTATACCTACTATAGTGTAACCTCTTGACGTTGTCGATATCATTGTAATGATCTTATGGCAATAAAACTATTATTATTATTATTATTATTATTATTACTTACAACCAATTTCGTACCAATGTTTTGACCATTAATTTTCATTACTGATCAAATCTTTGTGCCACGACTTTCCATGATTCGATTTCACCGGGCGCAGGTCACAAAAAGTATTGAAACCACTATGGCATCAACCAAATAGCTACATACATATATTTAAAATTGCCTTGATTGGTCACAGTGTCCCTGAACGAAGTTTAAGTCACATAAAAATGATGCCAAAAACTGATTGCAGTTTCTTGTTCGGGACCCTTTGGTGAATTAAAAATGATATTTACCAAAATCCTAGCTGATCCTTTTTTCGAAATTTTTTCAAAATTTATGATTTTTTTTAAATTTTTGTTTATTTCAAAGTCTACCTTTCATAGAGTACACATTTGTACACCGATTTTTATAAAATTAGAGTATATTATTGAGGAGACTTAAAGAATACTTTTTAATAATGTTCACATCATTTTATATATACAGGGTGGACCAAAAATCGCTTAATTTTAATAAAGCAAAAGCGTAAATTCATGATTTTGGCAGAACAAGCAAAACAGATGTATCCCCATTTTTTTAGATATTTCTATGTTTATTAGGTTACAAAATGGCATTCTTATTAACCTTTTATTAAAAAAATAGATTTTTAATAAAATTAAATAAAATAACGCTTAGAGAATATTTAAAATGTTGTTTAATTTAGGCTTTTTAGAAGTTTTCAATTTTGAACGAAAAACTGGTTAAAGTTTTTTGATCGGCACTCTTTGGAGATTTAAAAACGGTATTTACCAAAATTCTAACTGCTTTTCTTTAAATTTGTTAAAAAATCATTTTTTTTTAAATTATTTGTTTATCGCAAAGTCTACCTTTGCCAGAGTACAGATTTGTACACCGATTTTTATAATATTGGAGTATATTGTTAACGAGACTTGGAGAATACTGTTTTCATACTGAGCACATCATTAGATTTATACAGGATTAGCCAAAAATCACGTTTTTATATAGTAAAAAGCAAAATGCACAAAACAGATTTATCTCCAAAAAAATTTATTTTATTTAATTTTATTCAAAATCAATTTTTCTTATAAAGTCTTAATAAGAATCCCATTTTGTAGCATGATAAACATAAAAATATCTAAAAAAACATGGGTGGGTATATATCGTTTTTGCGTGTTATGCCTAAATCATGAATTTACGCTTTTGCTTTATTAAAAGAAGCAATTTTTGGCTAACCCTGTATATATTAAATGATGTGCACAGTATAAACAGTATTCTCCAATATTATTAAAGTCGGTGTACAAATGTATACTCTGTCAAAGGTAGACAAAAATTTAAAAAAAAATCATGAATTTTCAAAAAAATTCGAAAAGAGGATCAGCTAGGATTTTGGTAAATATCATTTTTAAGTCACCAAAGGGTCCCGAACAAGAAACTGCAATCAGTTTTTGGCGTCATTTTTATGTGACCTAAACTTCGTTCAGGGACACTGTGTGGTAGAGCCAGGTGGCCGTTACCAATCACCGGCTAGTATTTTAGCTCTAACTTCAACTTCACCATAAGTAAAAGCAAAATAGTTAATTGTACGAATACGAGGATCCTGTTCTGCTACAACCCCAAAATGACGGGTTGGTACCTCTTTCATCAGCCAAAAGAGTTGGTTTGATGTGTAGTATACCATTTAATACATATGAGTTTGTTCGGTTATTAATATAATAGTGAAACTCCCAGTCATTTTAGTCACTTCCACGTAACAGAACTGTTTCTACCACGTGTCAGAGATTTTGAAAATACACTTTACAGTTCCAAGTATAAGTGGCCGATAGGTTTCATCCACAAAAAATTCCACTTGGGTAGCCTATTTTTTAGATTTAGTTCCTTTGGCTATAATTGTATAGTAGAGAGTGGAGAATTTTGGAATTAGCAACAACTTTGCCGTTTATAGCCTCGTTTTCCCATTGGTGGCTTTTACCGGATGGCTATTGGCTCAGGGAAGATACGAGGAAGCATAGAAAATTCTACTCACCATGGCTAGAGTGAATGGAAAAAAAGTTCCAGAGAATTGTATGTCGAAAATGGAGAAAAAAAATAAAAACACAACACAAATTAAACCACCTATCGCCCAAGTATGGGATAAAAGATATTTTTCGTTCAAAGAATTTAAGATGGAAAACAATTATCATTTGGTTTACAAATAGATACCAGTGTGTATTTAGGGCTTTCATATTACGGGCCTGCTTTGGGAGGTAACGAGTTTTTAAACTTTCTCTGGCTGGGGCGGTGGAAATGCCCACATACCTAATGCCCACATACCAACTGTTTTTCTGACCGGCAAAGGAAAGATGGGGCAGGCCAGCCAGGCGGTGGAGTTTTTGTATAAGCATGGTTGTTGGAGGGTCAGCCTGCTTAGCAACATTTAGTACAAAAGGTCAGTTGATATTTTGAAATTTAAAATAAAAGAGGTATTATACGGATCCTATGGAAGGTCAATATTTACAGGTTTGGTATACTTTGGAATATCTTTACGATAGTAAGCAATTTATTTAAACTTGTTGCCACGAAATAAATTTTAAAATTTGCTTTTTAATCACACCCGTTACTTATGACTATTTGCAAATGGCTCATGAGCCATTGAAGCTCTTTTATCTCTTATTAGAGATAAGCAACTAAATTATGTGTTTTTTAGATTTTTACGTTACGTTAGGACTCTACTGCATTGGAAAAATGGGTATTTCTTCTTCATTTGTAGTATTACCCTTAATGCCTTCAAATTATATCACACAGTGGTTAGGGGTCTTGTTATGAGTATAAGTTCTGTAATGGGTATGCTGAGACCTTTATTTACACCTTTAGTAAATTATCTGGTAAGTAATTGTTTTGGAATGAAGAGGGTGAGATGAATTTTGAGTTAATGTCTGATGTTAATTCCCTATTCTTAAAAAAAATTAATGTTACCTAACGTTTAATTTTCTTTAGAATACTGATATGTTGACTTTACCCAATGGTAATAATGTGTACGATGTTTCTAATGGGAGAACTTTAAATCAACCCCTTCCGCTAACTGTAGAATATGCCCAACACCAGCACGACATCAAATTGAAAATATTAACCAATGATAAAGCTTAAGTTTTTTTTATTTTTCAACACTTAAAATTTTTGTTGTGCATTGTTTTAATAGTCATTGTAAACACTTTTAATATAATGTGACCTGACTTATATTAGTTTTATTTACATATTTTATTATCAATAAAAAATAGTCTTTGCTTTCTGGTCTTATATTTACATATGCCATGTAAGGTTTTAGAATTTTAAAAGTTATAAATATAATAATTATTACATTTATTAATGGTTTGTACAAGTTAAACTGACCAAATTTTTACATAATCGACTAAAAAATGGTAGCTTCCATCCTCCTTCCAGGTAGGTAACCATTGTTCCCTGCCCTTCCAAAAATCTGTGGCCCCACTGTGTGCTTTATTGGACCATGGTTTGCCACCTGGATTTATAACATCATCGGGAAAATATGACATACCACCAACGGCCAAATTTATAATCAAAAAAAACTCTTGATCGAACGGAGCCATCTTAGTGCCCCCACGCCATGGATTTTCCAAGTTGGTTTTATTCAAGTCGCCGTATTGCCAAAAACCGCCATGTGTTGGTTGGACTGCACCAATAACTTCATCGTCGATGGAATATGTGATTCCATCTGGAGTCCAGCTCAGTTGATAGTTGTGAAATTCAGCGTTGAAACCTTCTGATAAAGATGCTTCAAAGTGAGCTAGCCTATACCTGTTAAAGTTACTGTTTGGTCCAAAATGGAGAGTACTTCCCACCAACTTCGAACCAATATTTTCGCCAGTAGCCTTATTTATCAGATCTCTATTTCCGCGGCTTTCCATTATATCGATTTCCCCGGACGCTGGCCATCTTGAGTATTGGTAGTATTTAGGCATCAGCCAAATAGCTGGAAGAAAAATTATAATAAACCTTTACTCATTACATATATTTAACTTACCTGGCCATAGCCAATCTCCAGCTGGGATTTTAGCTCTTACTTCCACTTTGCCATACTTAAATGCAAAAGATTCAAACGTACGAATACGGGCGCTCTTAATTGGATTTATAATATTGTCGGGAGTACCTGTTCTGCTACAACCATTATGATTTGGATTTGTGCATCTTAAAAATTAACCAAATTAACACGTCATTATAATATCGGTTGGCAAATTATAATAAAAAGTTTATTTTAAAACCCCATAAATCAAATTAATATTTTCCAATTGTAAACACTTCGTTAACATTGTTATTGGATTGGTTTGACCTTGGACGTCCGGTTGGCTTCTTGATTGAGGGTGAAGCCTGTAGATTTAGATTTTCTGACCTACGATCCTATTGTACCTACGTCTTACAACTGAGCATAAACCGCCATTTTTATAAAAATGCACTGTGGTCCCATAAAACTCTCCATTTTGACTTTATTTTCAATGATAACTACTACGCTGCTCTTGATAAAGAAAATGGGTAACTACATTTTGAGGCAAACCAAGAATTAAAAAAATACGTAAGTACCAAGTTTGTTTAATGTATAATATATATTAATGTAAAAAATACCGTTTTAAACTAAACCGACCATGCTCTTTTCATCAGTGTTAAAAAAATTAAAATATCGATTTGGTGGCACGAAAAACGTACGTGCTTTAATAGGCGTAAGATCCTTAAACCCTTTCAAAAAACGTATCTCCGCAATTACGGTACATAATAATAATAATAATAATAATAATAATAATATATATTTATTTGCCCAACAGAATACAAACTTCCAATTACAAGACAAAATAATATGAAAAGTAAATATAAATTATAAACATAACAACAATGCAATTCAATAAAACTATAAACTAATTGTTAACATTATTTAGGTGTAAATTACATACAGTGCTTGCAAATCCAAGTCCGACCGGTTTGAGAAGGACGCGTGAAAATAACAAGGATAGAACGCCAAACAGAAGGCGCTTACAATACGCACGCCAGACGCTCTGACCAATCAAATTCTGTTTGGCATTCTATCCTTATTCTTTTCACGCGGGTATTGAACAACCATCCTTTCCAACGCGGTCGGACTTGGATTTGCAAACACTGTATATTAATTAATGAGCCTGAAGTTATAAAATTAATATCACAGTCAGGTAGACTATTGAAATTGCGAGTCATTAATTGAATGGGTGACATTAAATGTATATTTGTTCTTGAGCCATGAGTATAGAAAACTGAAGTAGACCTAGCATTCAATCTTGGAATGCGAAAATAGAGTTGTGATAGGAGAACAGGCGAATCAAGTTGTTCATGCAATAATTTATAAAGAATTATCACCGAATTTATAAAACGCCTCGCAGATAGTAGTTGCATTTCAAAACGATTTAAGATATCTAATTGATTTGTGCCCCTTATCGGATAAGCCCCATCTAACCTAAATGCCAGGAACTTAACAAAACGTCTTTGTACTTTCTCAAGAGAGTCGCTATGAGTCTGATAGTATGGACACCAAATGAGTGAGCCATACTCAAGCCTTGAACGCACCAAGCTAAAGAATAATGATTTTAGTACAAATATACTATTAAACGATTTACAGTTTCTTACAATAAGGCCAAGCATCTTTAGCGCAGAACATCGAACATATTGCATGTGCCTGTTGAAGCATAATTTCGTGTCAAAAAAGATGCCCAAATCCTTGACATTATCGGTACGCTGAAGAGGAATACCGTCCAGGAGATAGTCAAAATGAACCGGCTTCTTACTTAAAGTAAAGGAGCAAGTTTGGCACTTTTTAGTGTTTAAGGAAAGTTTATTTTGTTGACACCATTGTTCTACCTTCAACAGCTGATTTTGTAATTTAAGACAGTCAGCAACGTCGGCAATTTCCAGGAAAATCTTTAAATCATCAGCAAAAAGTAGTGTGTTACAGTTAAGCATTTCGGGTAAGTCATTTATAAATATGTTGAATAATAGAGGACCAAGGTTGGAACCCTGTGGCACACCCGAAGTGGCTGAATAATATAAAGATTTATAACCATTATGATAAACATATTGTTCCCTCTTATTAAGGTACGAGATAAAGAGATCAACAAGGGGCTTGCTAAAACCAAATAAATATAGTTTGTTTACTAAAATACCATGATCGACTCTGTCAAAGGCCTTGGAGAAGTCTGTATATACTACGTCGACCTGCTTTTTGAAATCGATAGAGTTAGCAACATATTGTGTAAAGATAGCTAAATTGGACACTGTAGATCTTTTGGACATAAATCCATGTTGGCTGATTGAAATATAAGGCTTTATCTGACGATATATATGGGAGTGCATACACTTCTCCAAGACCTTGGCAAAGTTACTTAGAATGGAAATTGGACGGTAGTTCAAAGCAAGAGCAGGATCGCCAGACTTAAAAACAGGGCAGACTTTTGCAATTTTCCAAACTTTAGGAAATCTAGAAGTGTTTAATACCTTCTGACATATTAAGAACAATGGTTTACTAAACACGGCGGCACAATCTTTAACTAGAAAGCTAGGCATAAGGTCCGGACCTGTAGTAAATTTGTTTGGTAAAGACTTCAATGCATATAATAGGTCTTGTTCACTTATGTCAGATAGGGATATGGTGCAATTATTACCAACGACATGGCTTTGGTCCAGTTCAATTTGTCCACGGGGCAAGAATACACTTTCAAAGTGATTCCGGTAACCATTAACAATATCGTCAGGTTTGTCAACAAGTACACCGTTAGTATATATCTTACCAGGAATCCTAGACGATCCCTTCTTATCACGAATGTATGTCCAGAAGCTATTCGGATCGTTTTTAATGCTGTTTTTAACTGTGGCTAAATATGTTTTATATGCATTAGTAACGTCACGTTTAACACTAGCTCTAAGTCTTGAAAATTCAATATAATCAGAGACCAAACCCGAGCGCTTGTATTTGCGATGATATTTATCTTTAGTTTTTAATTTGTATATGATTGAAGGACTATACCATTTTGGATATTTGCATTTAATATTCTTTGACATTGGCACGAAATTATTAAGGATATTATAAAGTTTATCATAAAATCCCTGACACATAGAGTCAGCATCGTTGAGGGCTACTAAAAAGTTCCAATCGACCTGACGAAGTGATTCATACAAACCGATAAAGTCCGCCTTCTTAAAGTTATATGTTCGTATATTTTTATATGTATCAAATATTGCAGGCTTAGAAGAGGTTATTTTGTAGTTAATTTGTAAAGCAGGGTGATAAGGATCTAATGGTACAAAAGGTTGTGTATCATGATACACCTCACACTCCAAGTTGCTAATTACTAGGTCTAAAAGGGTGTTGTGATTATTTAGGATGTTATTGAATTGATTTAGGCCAGTAACATTAAGTAGATCATAGATGGCTTGACACTTTAGGTTATTTAGATCCATCTTAATAAATTTGTTAACATTAAAGTCACCCAAAACTACAATGTTTTTATGATTTAATAAATATAGTTCAAGCTCTTCAATAAACGAGACAAATTCAATACATGATAACTGAGGAGGAATGTATAAAATAAAAATAATAACACTTTGATCCCTATACATAATATTACAACCTAATATATCAATGCGGGGAAAATTGTTCCTTAATACAGAAGTATCAACAAGAGTTACATCATAAGTACTATTACAGGCAAGGAGAACACCACCTCCACGTGCGGTATTTGTTTCTGCGAATAAGCGATCACAACGAAAAACGGTGTAGTTCTTAGAAAACAGTTCGGTATTTTCCACATTGCTAGAGAGCCACACTGTTCAAAATTTTAGCTAATTTTTACCTAAAATATTAGACTATATAGGACCATTGATTTTTTAAGGCAAACTGCCTGAAATGAATTCAGAGGAATATTCCCCTTTTAAATTAGTGAATTCTTTAACTGATATTTTTAAAGAAAATGATACAATTAATTAAGCAAAATTACTTAGGTTTCAAAGATGATACACCTTAGATCGTAAGGGATATTGCCTGAGAATAAAAGAATAAATTTCCTGTTTCTAAGGCAATTTGCTTAAATTTTTAGGTAGATTCTATATATTTTTAGTGAAAATCCTCTTATTTTTCACGGTAAATTTATCTAATTTTTTTAGATATACCCTTTTTTCGGGTAATTTTCTACCAATTTTTTAGTGAAATTCTACTAACTTTCTAGTAAAATGTAACTTATTTTCTAGTGAAATTCTACTATTTCATTAAATATAAATATAAGGGGAACAAGAATTGGCGGTGGGGGCATTTAGGAGAGAAGATATTTATAATGTCATTTTTGGTAATATACTATTTTGGAAATATACTATTGTAAATGTTAAATATTATTGTAAAAAGTTACTGATAACCTAGTATTGTTTATCCCTATATCGAGCAATGTAAATGAGAAAAGAATGACATTATAAATCCCCCTTTTAAGTGCTGATGGGTAAAATAAAAAATACATTTATTTTAGTTAAATTGAAAATGTATATTAATAAATATGTATAAATAAAAAAAATAAAAGTAACAAAAACGACAATAAAACTTATAGGTATACGTACTTTATAAGTTTAATAAAGTTTCTTTTGGCATAGGAATTTTCTTCCAAGTTAGGACTCCTTTATCCTTATGTCCTAGGCGAATTAACAACGGCGGTTCCGGTACTATAGGGTTGGGATTATTTAAAAATAAATTGGAGTCAATGGAAAATTCCATTTAGTTTGGATTACTTAACTATATCACTTCAAAATGTTCACTTATAACACAATATTTGTTAACTGTTGTTATATCAATAGCACACAACGCGGTCTTTACGTTTTCGTTGATTTTGGCATTCTGGTGGACAATATAGGCGCGAATATTTATCGTAAAACGTCGGTATTAGCGATCGTAGCCGATTGCAAGTAAGTTACTAATATTTAAAGGAATTTACCTAAATTCGTTCAATAATTTGCCATAATAATTTAGAAGAATTACCTAAATTAAAAGCAAAATTGTCGTACCTAAAAGTCATTGAGATTTTGACTAAATATTTAGGTAATCTGCCTATCTTTTTAAATTTGAGAAGTTTATTAAGTAAAGTATGAATATTTATCTAGAAGTTAGTGAATACACCATAGAACAAAGGCATTAGTTTCTGCCTAATAAACGAGAAGGTAAATTGCTTTACTCGTTTAAGCATATTACCTTATTTTTTCTTAACTAATTCTGATTAGGTATTTCAAAAGGCTTGATTTTGAACAGTGCACGTCTCCACTAACGCAATAATGTCATATTCCTGCAGTGACATAGAAGCACAAAACGTATCAACTTTGGAGTTTAAGCCACGCACATTTTGATAGTACAAATGAAACTTCGATGATAGACTGTTGGGCCCTACTCGTTTAAAGAGACAATCTTTGGGATCCCTCTGATATATTTTATTGTCAAGTTAGGTTCACCATTGGACAACCTTTGATTTAGGTCTTCCTTGAGAAGTTTGAAATGTTTTATTTGACGCGGAGTGCGATCAGGTGAGATGCTTATATTTTGAAAGGTGTTGGAAGATTTTAGCTTCTTACCATTTTTCAGGATTGCGAGAACCATCTGTTCATCAGGAAGCTTTATTTTCATGGGCCTTGGGGTGGTTTTGGAATCATCAAATCTTCCTAAGCGGATTGGCTTAATGTCGGACAGATCAGTGAGTGGAGATAGAAAGTTCAATATGTTTGACACTATTTCCGTATCATTAGCTGACCGTTCGTTGCTTTGCGATGATTTATTTTCCTTACATCCATGTATGATAATGTTTCTTTTACGTTGGTTCCTTTCCATTACCTCCTGAACCAGTTCCTCGAAGCAGTCATCTGCACCATGTATAGTGTTTGCCGTAGATTTTAACGTGCTGACTTCTGCTCGGAGATCCTGAATGGCTGATTTTAGTTCCTTAACGATATCCGTAAGGTTGAGACAGTTCTGGCAGGAAGCGGCTTGCTTGGGCGGCATTATAAGAACTTTAGCCTGAATAGGGAAATCGAAGTAGCAGCGGCAACGTCGCAATATTAACTGAATGGGATGATGAGGTTAGACTGTTTGAATATTCTATTTAGGAACGGTATATGAGCACATCCCACACTAGTTTATACAGCACTAGACACTTCAACGAGTAGAGAAACTGATAATAATTCTTAAACTAATTAAGAAGTTGTAATTATTGCAAAATTTTGAGAAAAAAGACCACGTGAAATTGGTATGCGTATTCAATAGCACTGTTGCCAGTTGCATATGCAAATATCTCCTTTCTAAGGAAAAACGTGGTTATCTGCAATTTTGATGATATCCATTGTAAATACCCATTTTGTTAAACCGGTTAAGAATTGGTATGTGAGAATGAGTATGTGGGTATATGTGGATATATTTAACCTTTAGAAAAACATATCTGGATTCAAGCCTAGGCTATAGCCTAGTCTGAAGCCTATGGGACCGCACCACAAAAGGGTCCCGCGTGAAGGGTCCAGGTGAAAAAAATTCTCCGTCAATTTTTAAATTAGGTTTTTTTTGTTTTAGTATATAAATAGTATAAACGTTTGGTGACCGTAATCATCATTAACCTATCATTTGCATTTGGTTTAACTTAATGTGGAGTTTCGAAAAAACACCACTATCGGTTTGAAAAAATTACGACATAAATGAAAGGCATTAGTCAGGAGAGGTTGATGTATGGAAAAAACGTTAAAGGTTGTCAAGGGAGTCTAGGCGAAATAAGAGCATGAAAGCAGGGTCTAAATAAAAATAATTTACTTTTCCGCAAAGAAAAATATATTTTTACTAAAAAGTAAAAAGAGCCTATTTTAGGCTCATAAAAATGTCCTTTTAGGACAATAAATCAAATTTCGCCAGTTTAGGCTTTTAGGCAAAAACTAAGGGGTGTCAAACGCTTTATTTTTTTAAGTTTAGGATTAATTTCAAGGTCCCAAACAATTGCCTAAACTAGAAACAAAAAGGCATTTTGCCTAAAATCCGGTCCTTGTTAATTAATTATACATAAGAAAATCGGAAGTCGTTATGTCAGCTGTCTACAATTGTCGCGCGAACAGCATTCGTTGTCTAGATTCTAGAAGGTATAAATAATTAAAATTTTTTAAATAATTCTTACTAAATGCGAAGTTTTTTTGCAAATACTATTTTTCAAATAAAAGTAGAGTAGTAACGCCATCAACCTATCCAGCTAACAGGCAAAGCCTATAAGGTTCGGTTCTTCAGCGGGACCTACTCATCTACCGACTTTCAACGCGCACAACACCCAAGGCTTTGACCGGGGATCGAACCCGATACCTTCGGACGCAGTTTGTCTCGGCATAGTCGCCTAACCCACTGCGCTACCCGCGGCCCTTTTTCAAATAAATTCATAATAAAGAAAAATCATTTTACAACTGTAAAAAAAAATTGTGTCTAATTATTGCGAACAAGTCATGGCCTATCAATTTTTCTATTAAATGTTGTAAAATTCTTAGGTAATAAACATAATAAAACGGTGCGGAATTTAAAAGAATGATTTAAAGTGTTATTTTGCATAATTATCTACCGATTTTTACTATTATGGTTACTTTCCGAAAAATCATTAAAAATTCATTGACACATTTGATGTGGTTTGACTCATAGCGGATACTGTAGACATGTTAAAAATGCAAAATGGATGATAACAAAAAAAACCTATACCTAAAATGCGTTTTTGTAGGTTAATTTAAAATAGGTTTAGCATAAATCCAGCCCTGCTGCGAGGATACATTTATTAACCAGAATTTCAATCTGAACTTTACATAATCTGAAACCCAATTACTAAATTAATATTAATATCTCGATCATTATTTTTTTTAATGAGCAAACTTAAAACCAACTTTTAAAGACGAATAAAAAACCTATTTCCATAAAAAAAGTAGAAATCCATACACGAAATAGGTTTTTTGCAAACATTGGCCAAAGATTTGTTGGGAGTGTCAATTTAGAAGAAAAAATCATACAAAATTGTTGGTTGATCAAGGGTTCTGTCCAGCACAAGCTTAAACTTTGAACGTTGGTTATCATTAATTGAGGGTGGAACCTGTTAGCTTATAATTTTACTACAACCTTATCGTATACTCCCAGGGACATTGTATTACAAGCTGCGAGGGAAATAAACTTCTTACAACTGTGCACAATCGTAATTTTTGTAAAAATATTTTACACATAATGTGATGTACTCATTTTCAATTCATAACCGATATAACTCACTGATCTGTTGGTGTTCCTCCATATATTTGCATAGTGCCTGAGCTCAGAAAAGCTTCACCTTTTTCATCAGCTAAAAGCGTCGGTTTTATATGTAGAACACCATTCTCCACGTACGAGTTGGATCTGTTGTTGCAATAATATTGAAACTCGTAATTCTAAACAAACCATAGCTTTATTCATTAAGCATATATTTTTTTTATGTGGATAAATACTAACTCCTCCGCCTGTAAGAGTATGTTCGTGTTGCCATACAGATAAATCCAAAGTGTCAAAGTTATCTTCAAAAATTAATTGATCGGCACACAAAATTTTACCAGCCCGTGATCCACTCACCGTTGTTACCGAAGGGAGACAAACGTCAGATTTTACGTTAATTACCAAAAAACTAATAAGAAAAAGTTCAGTTTTCATTTTAAACTTAATTTTTATGTAGGTATGCCTAAACTTTTACTTCATCAAAAATGAAGCGACTCGCAGCTCACAACAAGTAAGTATCATTAAAATGTGGTTTTAAAACGGAAATTTTTTTTTGATTAAAACGTAATAAAATATTTAATAGGTATTAAAATTTAATCAAATATTTAATATTGTTGTGGATATTAGACTGTTTTAATTGTTTTATACCTAAATTAAATGAATTAAAATATTTAAAAACGTAAAAAATATATAAAATAAATTTTCGTAAATTAAAATATAACTTACTTGTCTACGCAAAAGTTATTTAGTAGTGTCCTTAATAAAAATAAAAAACTTTTTTACAGAAAACAGCCCAAACTCTAGCATATTCAGGCCAATTCACTAACATATATTATACGACTTATTAAGTCGTTAACGTTAGCCACTAGAATCAGTGGTTATTGGCCAATCCTACCAATCAGGCCGTTTAAATACAACGATAACCACTAAATCTAGTGGCTAACGTTAACGACTCATGTTAGTGAATTGGCCTGATTCTCCTTGAAAATAAGTGCTTCCTTCGAGGTGGGCAACCATTGATTTCTGCCATTCCAGAAATCTGTAACAGCTTTTGGTAATGTATTAAATTATGGTTTACCACCTGGATTGGTGACTATGTCAGAAAAATACGCAATACCATAGCCAAAATCAGAATTAAATAAAACTCTTCATCGAGTGGTGCCATCTTTGAGCCTCCCTTCCTAGGATTCTTCAAGTTAGTTTAATCCAGCTCTCCCAAATTCCAAAATCCTTGATCTGTTGGCCTTACTTTACCAATAACTTCATTGTGAATAGAGAAGGTGATTTCATCTGGAATTCAGTTCACTTGATAGTTGTGGAAAGCAGCATCATAACTTTCTTGTAACGTTTTTTCTGTTGATCCTGTTCTGCTACAACCATAGAATGACGGGTTCATCAGCTAAAAGAATTGGTTTGATGTGTAGTATACCATTTTCTACATGTGAGTTTGTTCGGTTATTATTATAATATTGAAACTCCCAGTTCTAAAAAATATACCTAAAAATTTCCACGTATTTTATGGACGACCCCTTAAGAAGCGTTCTTCGTGCTGGAAACGTATACAAAAATTATCCAAAATAAAAATGATGAATACAGAAACAAAATGTTTTTATTTAGGAAAAATCACACACCTATAGGTATTATATATAAGTATACATATTTATTTTCTAAAACTTACCCCCCTCCTCCAAAAGTGCCATTTCTTCAGATCCAAAGTTATCTGTTGTTAACAAAGTTCCAATTTTTATTATTTATATTTCTAAATTAAAAAAAAAAAGAAATGGTATAAAATCAGTAATACTTGGACTTTTTAAATAAATTTTAAAATTTGTTGATAAACTGTAGTGAATTATAAATTTCACCACTTTAATTTAAATTTTCTTAATTTGGGGGGCAGGAGGCTGGGGTGCACACTAAAAAACTAACTTTTTTAACTTCAATTTAAATTCTGCTTGCGCAGAACTTGTCAATATAATGTCATTATAACTTATATAAATTTGATGTGGGTCCCATGTCTAATAACTGAGATATGGGGGTACCCAAAATCCACCAGCCGCCACTGCCAGAAAGAGTTTACAAATTGTTATATTCTTTTTCATTTCCACGTGATTCAACGGGCTGTGCTTATATTTTAAGCTATGACACCCATGTTTGACAGTAAAATTTATTTGTATTATCTTCGGATTATTTTAATTCTAGTTATTATTTGCAAGTTGTATTCTCATATTATATTTTTTTAGTATTCAGTGTTAGTTTAATTTCCAGTTTCAGAGGAAGCAAAGATAATAAGATAAATAATATGATAGAAAGACACGAGGATAGAAAGTAAAGAGTAGTAAGTTTTGCTTAAGTTTTGGTCACTATACCTACAAGTGTATAAACGTGTCTGTATACAAGAACTTGGTTGAAACGTAACTTACACTAAAAAGGTGTGTTTAATTACTTCCACGTAACATACCTAACTGTTTCTACCACGTGGCAGAGATTTTGGCAATACACTTTACAGTTTCAAGTATAAGTGGCCGATACATTTAATCCACTAAAAAGTCTACTTGGGTAGCCTTAGGCTACTAGCCTACTCTAATAGTAGAGAATTGAAAATTTCGGCATTAGCAACAACTTTGCCGTTTATATCCTTGTTTTCCCATTGGTGGCTTTTACCGGAAAGTCCCAGATGGCTATTGGCTCAGGGAAGATACGAGGAAGCAAAGAAAATTCTACTATCTGGAAATGCCCACTTACCTGGTTTTTTGGCCAGCAAAGGAAAGATGGGGAGGCGGTGGACTTTTTGTATAAGCATGGTTGTTGGAGGGTCAGCCTGCTTAGTAACTTTTTAGTACAAAATGGTCAGTTGATATTTGGATGGTATGGAAGGTCAATATTTACAAGTTTGGTAGACCTTGGAATATCTTTACGATAGTAAAGATATAGCAGCAATTTATTTAAACTATAATAATATATAATTTATTTAAACTATAGTTGCCACGAAATAATTTTTAAAAATTGCTTTTTAATCACACCCAGGGGCGTGCTGGGCCGCCGGGACACCGGGAGAAATCCCGGTGGGCCGGTAGTACGGAGGGCTAAGTGGGCCGGTGTGCCGGAGGGCTATGTAGGCAGCATGCCGCAGCACGTGGTCAATTAAAAACTTTTTTAGTTGAGTTATGTATAAATATCATAATTATTTTACACATACCATGCATGCCAGCCTGCCAGCTTTGTTTCTTTTTTCGAGATTGTATATTGTTTATAAGTTTCCTGAGCGATGACAATTTGTATTAGTTTTTATTTTAAGTGCAATGCTATATGTTTTGGCATTGTGTAAAATATTGTCTGGTTGTGTTTGTTGCCTGTTTTTTTTTTCAAGAATTTAATTTATACTTTATGTTATTAATTGAGGGGGCTAGAAGTAAAAGGGTTTAAGTGCATTTTTGTTAGTTCTGAGATAAATGGCTTTAAAGTTAACTTGAATTTTAAAATTCTAGAAAAGAGTTTAAAAAACTGTGAATATTTTAGTTTTGTTTAAAGACTAAAAAGGATTATAAAGAAAAACGAATTTTTCAATTTCGCTTTTTTGTTATTTTTTTTTACAAAAATGTACTTGAATCGTCATGCATGTAAGACAAAATTTAGTGGTAAAATGATTTAAATGCAATTACTTTACTAGAACAAAACTTTATTTTTTAAAATTTGGGTAATTACCCAGAAAACACACTAGTCCGGCCATGCAAGGGCACATAAATGGGCCATTGCATTATGTAATGGCCCAGTAATGCGCCGTTGCATGGCCGGAATAGTGTGTTTGCTGGGAAGTTTTACAACAAAAAGTATTATTCATAATCAAAATCTAATACAACGTTTTCTTCATCTGAATTAGCTGGTCTTGGTTGGGGTTGACCTAAATTGGATTTTTTTGGCTCAATAGGGCTATGGTCTTAGTTTGTTTCTTTTTTTCTGATGGATCTCGATCGTACTCTATGTTTTTATAAAATAAGTGGTAAATTTGCGGAATATAGTCCAATAAGGTACCTAAGCGGCTTTTTTTTAGTTTTTGCTGGAGTTACATGGCCTTCTTCTTCTACTTCTTCATTGATGTCAGGAACATAGTTACTATGTTGAATCCTCATCAGTCTGGACCGATGCCATAATCGTAACGCTGGCCGATGTCGTTCCGACCCCGGTCACACTATGTCGAAACGAGCTACTTGTCAAGGCTTTAGCAGCATAGATAATAGCCTATGTTTAGCAGTAAAAGGTGCACTTAAATCGTTTTACCAAAGATATATTTTAAAATATTTTGCCAGGTTTTTAAAGACGATAAGAAATGGCGCCAGGGAATGTAAAATGTACTTATATAATTTTACCACTAAGTTAGAATATTCTTTAGGTGTGATATTCTGCACTTAGACCATTTATTTAAAAAAGTGCACTTGTACCGTTTTACTTCCAAGCCCCTCAATTATTAATAAACGTTTGAAATATTTTAACTCAAAAAAAATTCAGAAAAATCGGCCAACCAAGTGGTTTTGTTCACCCCCCATTTTTCGTGTGTAGTTGGCCGATTTTTCTGAATTTCCCGGGCCGGTCTGATATAGCCAGCACGCCCCTGATCACACCCATGCATTAGGTACTTACGTTTTACTATTTGAGCTATTGAAGCTCTCTTATCTCTTAAAAATAAAAGATAAATGATGTATTTTTTTGAATTTTACTTTACGTAAAATGGTTATTTCTTCTTCATTTGTAGTATTACTCTTACATAATGGCTTCAGAATTATATCCCACAGTGGTTAGGGGTCTTGGTATGAGTATAAGCTAGGTAATGGGTATGCTGAGGCTTATATTTATACCTTTAGTAAATTATCTGGTACCTAAGTAATTGTCTTAAAATAAAGAGGGTGAGATGATGATTCCCTATTCTTTAAACACACAGAAAAAAATCTAACATAGTACCAAGTCATTGAATGCATTAAAATTAAAGCAATCTAAATTGTTATTTGCTCAATTAATTACTATTAAACCAAATTAGGGAAATATTTTGCCTAAATGTCAAAGAATTTATTGCGTTAAATGTATACATAGTATACATACAATAGTAACGTTATTAAATAAATCAAATTAGTATTTAATGCAATAACTTTCTACCATTCTAACAAATAAATATCAATATGAATATCAATCGATTTAGGAGCGATAACTTTTGTTGTTAATTTAAAAACAGTAAACGATTATAAACCAAGTGCTAACTACCTATTGGTATTATAGGAACTGTTATTCAGGAATACGGATTACAAGATCCCATTGGTTTAATGGCTCACCCATTTATGCTATGCTAGCGTTTTTTCTGTGCAAGAATTAATGTTACCCAACGTTAAATTTTCTTTAGGGTACTGATATTTGACTTTACCATTAATAATAATGTGTACGATGTTGGTAATGGGAGGAGCCTGCTCTTTACTACTGCCAGAAACTAAATCAACCCCTTCCGCAAACTTTAGAAGATGCTGAAGAAGCCGGTCTTGATCTTTTTGCAAGCTGCCCAACACCAGCACATC